AAAAGGAGGGCCTGGACTATGGTGGTGATTTTTCAACCTCATCTGCATTTACCTCAGAGAAGGTTTGGACACTTGGTAGATTACAAGTAGAAGCAAGACACACAACACCTCCCCATTCCAGGGAAGGAATTGTAGTTCACTATCCACCATATCAACAAACATAAGGCATGCGTAGGATATTATACAACCATGCGGCTTGAACTTGGGTAGATCGTAGTGCGTTTTTACTCTTTCCCCTCTAATACTAATACAGTCTGGCATGTATTCCACACACGCACGACAACACCTTCCATCTTAAATTACTTGTTTTGGATTTATCTGGATGTAGATGTATATAACATTAAACCATATCTAGATACATCCATATTTGTAAGATAAATAATTCGGGTTGGAGGTAACACTACGTCAACTCATGGCCTGGCTGTATCTTGAATTATCCCGTAAACAATGGCTACTGTGGCAAGCAAATGTTTCTTTAAGAGCAAGATGGCTTAACTTAGTCCTGATCCGTAAACAACACCCGATCGAGTAATTAATTGTTTTCATCTATGTGGGATTTTTTTATTTACAATCCTTTTATGCGGGATTAAGCCTCGCCAGAATGGGAAACCAACTGAACTCAAAAGAAAAAGAAAAAGGAATGGGAGACAAACTGCACGCCATATCGCACCATTCGGCCGCGTGGATCGACTTGTGTTGGGTGCACCTAGTCAATGAAAGAAATAGATGGGACAAAACTCGCACCATGTCGCTCGCGCCTCGTTGTCTCCGGCGGCTTCCTGTGATCCTGTCTGCGTCACTCGCAAGATTCCAACGAACAGATTAGATATCTAGGCATAGTAGTATAGATGGAGAAAAAAAAGTCTAAACAGATGTCATCGGCCCGCCGGCCGGTGGAGAAGATATCAACAGTTTGATGGTGTATCTTCCTTTTATTATCTTCTAATTCTAATAATCTGGTGATATTATTTTTCAAACCAACGCAACAAACCAATCAGGGCGTATATATAGGGAAGGGTCCAACTCCATCTCCGTCTCCATCTCCATCCCTGGGTTGGGTTGGGTGCACACTTCTCTCCCACCCCCACCAGGCCACCACCATCTCTCCCTCCCCTGTTTCTCGCCTTATCTCCATTGCCGCCTGCCGCGCGCTTCAGCTAGCCCAGCCGAGGAACGAGGAGGAGCGGGTTGCTGTCATGGCGGCGTCGGCGGCGGCGGTGATGGAGGAGCTGCGGGGTAGCTTCAGAGAGGGGCGGACGCGGCCGGCCGAGTGGCGGACGGCGCAGCTCAGGGCGCTCGTCAGGATGATCGAGGAGAAGGAGGACGACATCAGCAACGCGCTCCACGCCGACCTCGCCAAGCCGCGCATGGAGGCCTACCTCCACGAGGTATGTCGCAGCTCCATCTCCATGCCGAATCTCCAAGTTGACTCCAGCAGGATAGGAAGATTCTTGGGTTGGTAAGAACTGGAACGGAATTCCAGCTCTGCCTGCATGATTCTCTCTTCCCCCCCGTGCCCGTGCGTGATTGCGTCCGGTTTATCAATCCATGGAAGTAGATTTTATTTATCATCGGAGCTTGCCGGCGCTGGATCAGTAAAGTTATTCTTACGCCGCAATACAATTGGTCCCGTGAAGTTCGTCTGGACTTTCCCGTATCCGACTTTGAATGAAGCAGTGAAGTTCTTCCCATTAATTGTTCGTCTTGCACAGATACTCCTCACAACTCACAAGATTCGTTTTGTCTTTGGACCATCTTTCCTGCTCCTCGGCCGAATTAGTTCAATCAGGCTACTCCGTTAATCGAAACCTTGGCGGGGTTGTTGGCCAGCGGTGGCTTTGGGAAAGTTAGGCGTGTTAGTCCCTTTCCTCGCAACTCCCGGAAAGGGTTGCGTGCCAAAATAAATAATTAAATGATTACTCCTCCATTGCCGGCGGCGTCCCTTCCAAGAAAACCCTCGCTTTGTTTGCTCCCGTGTCAGACAAAGTCTGCGTCCTCAATCAAATATCCCGCCTGCGTAAACATTTTTTGTGTTTCCCCAAATTTTCAATTTGGGGAGCAGATGCAACTTGCATCAGTTTCTACTACGTGCTCTCTTCTTGCAAAGACTTCCGTTGAAATATCATATTCGTCTGAGGCAGGGGTTCCTAAGCTGGCCAGTCACAGTCTGCAGTTACTCAAGCATTGCCTTTACTATCAAGCTAGGACTAGGAAATGCCATACTGGTCAAATTTGGTGATTGCAATCTGTAAAACAACAGATGTAAATGAACAGAGAAGCATGATTGCTTCACAACACGTTTTTGCCGGCCTAGTAAATGACGATGACCACATGTTGTTGACATCTGTCTGTTCATGACTCAGATATCGCTGGCGAAAGGGGCCTGTATGTTTGCCTTGAAGGGGCTCAAGAATTGGATGAAGCCCGACAAGGTAGGGAAATCCATTCTCCACACGTTACTGATTACATTCGTTTGTAAACAAAATCCATTGTTTTTTGCTGATATGGGGTGTGTGAACTTTACTACTATATATACATATATATATATATATATATATATATATATATATATATATATATATATATATATATATATATTCCAGGTACCTTCTGCCATAACTACATTCCCATCCACTGCTCAAATCGTGCCGGAGCCCCTGGGTGTCGTTCTCGTCATATCAGCCTGGAACTATCCTTTCTGTAAGTCAATGGCATTGAAGAGGGATTTTAATCCATGCAATTCGTGTGGGAGAGGCTACGAGGATACACTATTTAACCATTGATTAATCTGTTGCCTGATGGCGCTGGAGGTTTATGGCATGAGTTTGATATGCTCCCGTGTCCCGCGCTCAAGGATTGGCTACATGCCAATCTGTTTCGTAGTTGGTACCTTTCCTTTTCGTCAAACAGACATCGATTTCTGCAGTTATGCTCTAACGCAATCTTATGTCACAAGTCCGGATTTTTTTCAACACATGCGCATTACGACAGGCAGGTTTCGACAGTCTTAATTATGGTGCCATTACATTTTTGGTGACCAAAAAAATATTTTTAGTTATTATTTTACCATCTAAACACTTGATATCTTGGGACTGATGCTTTCGACCAGTTGAATTTGGTCAGAAATTGTAAATTAGTTTCCCCCTTCTGTATTGAGTGTTTTTTGCCTGTTAGATTCCTGGATGACCGTTCGATATTAAGATGACTAATAATCTCACCTTCGTTATAGTGCTATCCATCGAGCCCGTCATTGGAGCAATTGCTGCTGGGAATGCTGTTGTGCTGAAGCCATCAGAAATTGCGCCAGCAACATCGTCATTGTTCGCGAAGCTGCTACCAGAGTACGTTGATAGCTCGTGTATAAAAGTTGTGGAGGGAGGTGTCACTGAAACAGGTGCACTCTTAGAACAAAAATGGGATAAGATCTTCTACACAGGTTAAGTTCTTACCTGTCAAATAGTTTCTGCTTCTTCAATTAATGCTGCTGTGTTTCTAACAGTGCACTCGTTCATTTGAACTGCAGGAAATGGTAATGTAGCCCGCGTAGTGTTGGCAGCAGCTGCGAAGCATCTAACCCCTGTTGCTCTGGAGCTCGGTGGAAAATGCCCTGTTATTGTTGACTCTAACGTCGATTTGCATGTAAGCGATATCTAAAAATATTGTCAACTCTTACAACAAAAAGTAGTCTTTTGGTTTTCTTAACAGAGATTTTCCTTCAAGGTTGCTGCTAAGAGGATTGCTGTTGGTAAATGGGGCTGTAACAATGGCCAGGCATGCATTGCTCCCGATTACATCATAACGACAAAAGCGTTCGTTACAGAGCTGGTATCTACACTACTATTATAACTACCAGCCAAATAATTGCTTGTGCCAACTGAAGTTCTATATATAGCTTATATCTATGAAATAAACTTTGTACAGGTTGACTCTTTGAAAAGAGTCTTGGAAAGGTTCTACGGGGAGGATCCGTTGCAATCGGCGGACCTGTCTCGTATTGTGAATATTAGCCATTTCGGACGATTAACGAAGTTGATAGACGACAAAGAAGTTGCCACCAAGATTCAGCTCGGTGGCCAGACAGATCAGGAGCAACTGTGAGAACTTGACAATTTATAGCGTGAACTTTCAGTCACAAACTCACAGTTGGGTTCTGGAAGGTGTTTAATTGAGTGCTAACTTTTGTTTCTTATGTCGCAGAAAAATAGCTCCTACGGTGTTGGTAGATGTTCCTCTTGATACAGCACTTATGACAGGGGAAATATTTGGCCCATTGCTTCCAATTATAACGGTTAGTACTCCTCTGCCTTGATTTGAGACAATAAGTAGTGTTCCTAGAGTGCACTGAAGTCTGCTTGACAATATTCAGAATTAAACCCAACTCTGTTTGGATTCTTTGAACTATGGTTGTCAGGTCGACAAGATTGAAGAAAGCATCGCACACATCAACGCTGGGGCGAAGCCACTCGCAGCCTACCTCTTCACCAAGGACAAGAAACTGCAACAAGATTTCGTCTCAAACGTCTCGGCAGGAGGCATGCTCGTCAACGACGTCGCCTTACACGTAACTGCTCATGAACTCTGTTAATCAATCTTCTGAACCAATAGCATGCTTCCTCCTGAACACATAACATTTTGCAGCTGACGAACCCACATTTGCCGTTCGGTGGCGTGGGCGACAGCGGCATGGGGTCGTACCACGGCAAGTTCAGCTTCGACTGCTTCACCCACAGAAAGGCGGTGCTGATCCGCGGGTTCGGTGGCGAGGCGAATGCAAGGTACCCGCCCTACACAGCAGAGAAGCAGAGGATCTTGAGGGGCCTCATCAAGGGCAGCTTCTTTGCGCTGATCCTTGCGCTTCTGGGGTTCCCGAGGGAGAAGCGTTAGCTGAGTTGAGCTCCCTCCCTTCTCCAGTACAGCATAGCAGGATTGTTCATGTTCATGAGGGCGATGTGGTGCACTTCTGCACTGTGAAGCGCCAGTGCGCGAGTGTGTTCAACAGGTGTAAAATATGGGACTATCATCGGATTTCTGGATGTAATTTAATTTTACATAAATAAACCTGGTTTGCTAGTTACTCTAGCGTGAAGGATGAAGAGGATTATGCCCTGCTTGCAAGAATTGTCCGTAATGATTCATCATTTCATTGCATTGTGAGACTTTCTGCATTTGTTAGTTAAGGGAGTTTAGAACAAGCTTGACAGCCCGAAGGACCGGTTGCACAAAAACCTACTCCCCGGCATAATACTACACAAATGAGTTACTCCCGTCAAACCCCAAATGAGTTACTCCACAGGGCTAAGCCGCCCAACAACACGAGCTGTTCGTCTCTAACTTAGAGACCATAGAGTCGACATGCGGGTGTTGAGCATGCTTGAAGTGGACACGCCAGAGATCGGCATCATCCCGGCAGCACTTGAGGGTGGTCACAAGCGACTGAGCATTGTTTCGGAACACGACCTCGTTCCTTCTCTTCCATAGACGCCAACAGCAAAGCATCACGAAGGCGGACGGCGAGGCCGCCCCAACTGCAGGAGAGGCGTCGAACTGGTTGAGGGAGGCCACTGAGGCGCCGGCCGTTGTCAGCCCCAGACGTGTCCAGAAGCACACCGCGAACGGACATCCGAAGATGAGGTGATCGGCAGTTTCCAGAGCTGCAGGGCAGCAGGGGCACCCAGCTTCCGCCGCGGTGAGAATGGTCTTCCGCAGGCGTCCCGCGTGTGCACCCGCGCCATGGTGAGCAGCCAACAGAAGAAGATCCTCGCATTGTGTTCATTCCAAATCTCTCAAGCAACAAGCATGTTGAGCGAAGCCATAGCCTTTTGGCAAGCGAGGCCATCATGCACAATGCCATACCATCAAGATTTGACGCCCAGGAAGCCATGCCAAACGTCCTTGTAGCTGCATGCTCCCCCACCTTAATGGAGAATCTGAACTTGAAGAGGAGGTGTGGTGCCGACTCCAATACTTGGTTACGAAGTGGGCAGTTGCCGCAATTTGGCCAACCCCGCCTCGTGAGACGATCGGCCATCCGCGACTATTCTGCATGACTAGCCAAGCAAAAAACTTACACGCGGCGCCCAATTCTTCCAGATTGTGTGATGCGGAGCATCCCTCGCTCATCCTCATGGATGCATCTACATCTCCTTCAACACCACGTGGACCCATGACTTGAGCCCGCTCTAAGGCTATCGAAGATAAGGTGAACTCGCTCCTCTCCGAAATCCCTCTTCCTACTCACGAGACATGGCTACTACCTCAGACGGAAACTCTGTGTGTGATCAGGTACAACGCTGAAGAAGAAGCGACAGGCGTCAACTTTCTGCTCAGCCCGGAACCTACCCGGAACCTGGCCCGGAACTTCCGGCCTGCCCGGAGCTTCCAGCCTCCTTCGACATCGACCACCCCGGGCATGCCAACTTTTTGCTTAGCCCGGAACCTGCCCGGAACCTGGCTCGGAACTTCCGGCCCCCGGAACCTCCGGCCTTGCCCGGAACTTCCGGCCCCCGGAAGCCAGCCCTGCTTCACCCGTGCCAACTTTCGGCTTAGACCGGACCCTGCCCGGAACCTCCGGCGCCTGGAACTTCCGGCCTGGCCCGGAACTTCTGGCCCTGCCTGCGCGCAGCCACTTGGGCCGAGGCCCGTGTACCCTTCCGCCCCGTAGACTATATATACTCCCTCATCCCGTATGTTTTAGGGTTAGCATTGGATAGCTCATATTTGTGTGAGAGCCTTGCTCATCCACTTGGATACTTCTCCTCGGAGTTTAGGACCTCTTCGGAGAAGATCCCCCAAGCGGATTCAAGACCCCTTTCTAGGGAAGACCATCAAGACCTCTGTACGGAGAAGAACGGTGCCTTTGTATCCTTGCCTTTGTTGATTGTGGATCATGTGTATCTCTTTGTGTTCGGTGATCTAGCACTTGTGTGATTGATTCTATGTCGGTTTCGTGATTCTCTCTCGTTCTCCCCGTGTTTTCCCCTTTGTGCTTCCGTGTGTTCTTCGTGAATCTCCGTAGGATCCTCTCCAAACGTGAAAGATCGTCCAACTAGGGTTTTGCCCTACATCATATGGTATCAGAGCCACGTTGATCACGTTTTTGGAGCCCCTACCCCTCTTTTTCTAGCTTGATTTTGTTGTTTTCGTCCTAAATCCGAAAATCCCCACCAAAAATAGCCCCAATTTTTTTTGTGATTTGTTGGTGAGTTGAGATTTTGTTGGATTTGATCCATGGATTTGCTTTGTTTCGAGTGGATCTAGCTTCCCTGCCCTTCCTCCCTTCTAATTTCTTCTTTTCCCCCCTCGGATTTGGGGGTTTTCCCAAGTTTTTCCGCCCAAATCCGCGATCTCGAAGTCTCTGCTTTTGGCAGATTCCCGAACCCCGAACTTCCGGCCTTGCCCGGAACTTCCGGCCCCCGGACCTTCCGATCATCCCCGGAACTTCCGGACTCCGGAACTTCCGTCTTGCCCGGAACTTCCGGCCTAGACAGAACGGTTGCACTTCTTCGACACTTTCGCTACTTCGAAAACTTCGATCACGGTGCAGCGGCATCTTCGCCAACGTACTGAAGACCGTGCACTGCGTCCCCATCTACTTCCGCATCCGTTTCAACCTTCAACCGAAGCAAGGATGGTAACATCGACGACATCTTTGTCATACCTTGCAATTGCATTGATAATCCACATTGCCTCATTTTGCGTAGCTTACCTATCGAGACTAGCCATTGAGTATTGCAGGCAACGTGACTTGTGCACATTAGGGATCATACTCCATAAGAATACATACCATACCATAGTGGTGCATATCTTGGGATCCACTTGTGTGTCACAAAGTTGTCATAGCATACACAATTGCTATCTTGGTTCGTAAAGTTTTGCATAAGAAAAGAGCTCAAAGAGTGAAAGAGCCACCCAAGCTTTTAAGCAAAGAGGAAAGATAAGCAAAGAGCTTATGAACAAGAACCATAGCATCATACTGCATTAAGATTGTCATATTGGATCATCTTGGATCATTGCACCGAAATACCATACATATAGCATACTTGGGATAGAGATAGTTGCATTTTTGCCTAGTAGGTTGTGCACAAGTTTGCGTATCCGCCTATTGTGCAATCGTGCTAGCGTCTCTCTAATATTGTGCAACAAGAGCATTTTCGTGGTTTCCACATTTTGGCTCACTTTTGGATTGCACAATCCCACTTATCTATTTGCGTGTATGTTTCTGTGTACCCATACTTGCTTGGTCTACTTGTTGCATTTGCAAATTTATGAACCTTTTCCAACATTATTGAAGCTCACTTACTATTGCATCAAATTTTGTGCCACCATCCTAACCAAGCTCCACCAAAAGCTTTTTACGTGTGTAGGTGTGCGAACCGACAAGAATTGGTACCAAAAGTGCTATTTCATTGTCCGCATTGGAGTGAACTTGATTCATTTTCAACTTCGGTCAAGGTACATTTGGTACACGTTCTTTTCCTTCGACCACTCACATTTTATTTGCAATGATGGATAGGCCAAGTTCTTCTACAAATCCACCTCTCATCGAGAACGGCGACGACATGTCATCATTCATCACAAAGAGCCACCTTTTTGGTGCTCAAAGGGCGTTACACCAAGAGCAACAAGCTATGAGCGACCGCATCGACAACCTCGCCACCGACTTGCGACTCTCCGAGCAACGTGCAAGAGACTACTTCGACAACAAGTTCGACTCCCACAAGCAAGAGAATGATGCAAGAATGGACGAGATCCGCGCCTTGATGAGGAACCGGCATCATTTCACTTCTTCACCCTCAAGACGGAGCCGCTCGAGTCGACACTCCGACGACACCTTCTCCGGCTCAAGTACACCGTCATCGACCATTCTTCGATGAGCCGCGCGTCAAGACCGACATGCATCTCGGAACCCGCTACATGACAAGCATTCCCAAGAGCAAGTTGATGAGCAAGTTCCTCGTCCTCAATCAAACCAAGTCGCTTTTGCTCAAGCTCAAGAACGGCAATGACTACGACGCCAAGAAGAAGAACGAGCACGCCTACACCAAGAGGAACAAGACGCCGAGGCTCAACGTCTTCAACAACAACAACGAGAAGCGCAAGCTCTTGAGGCGCAACGTGCCCTTCAAGAATCAAGTCGAGCCATCGCCAACCGCAATCGCGAACGGCGCAATCTAGAGGAAGCTCTTCGAGAAGAAATCCAAGAGAGGAACTATCAACCGAATGTGTAATGTCAAGCTCCACAAGCTCCTCCACAAGCTCGTCAAGATCCACCTCAACCTGAAGTTCAACAAGAGCAAGTTGATCATGGTCTTCATCCACGACAAGAGCAACATGAGGATGACTATCCTCCACGTCAAGGGCGTCATCATCACCATCGCCAACAACACAATGAAGAGCAACGCTACGGAAAACTCAAATTCACAATGCCCAAGTTCAACGGAAGCAATGATCCCGAAGAATACCTCTCATGGGCATTGAAGGTCGACAAAATTTTCTGCTTGCACAACTATGAGGAAGAGAAGAAGATCGCTATGGCATCACTTGAGTTCCAAGACTATGTGCTCATATGGTGGGAACAAGTCCTTGAGCGCCGTGAAGCAAGAGATGAACCACCTATCACCACTTGGGCTCAAATGAAGGAAGTCATGCGAGCACGTTTTATGCCAACCTACTACAACCGCGATCTCTTCAAGAAGCTACAACTCCTCAAGCAAGGAAAAAAGAGTGTTGAAGAATACTACAAGGAAATGGAGATTGCCATGATTCGAGCCAATGTCATGGAAGATGATGAGCAAACAATAGCACGTTTCTTGAATGGTCTCAATCATCCCATCAAGAAGATTGCCGACTTCCAACCCTACTCCAACTTCATTGAGCTCGTGCATCAAGCTACAAAAGCGGAATGTCAAGTGCAAGATGACTTCAAGTACGCCAAGTACTCATCCAGGACATACGGTTTCTCCAACATCCAAGCTTCAACAACTCCTCCAACATCTACGTCAACCAAACCTTCTCCAAGCAATGACGACAAGTCAAGTTACAAGAAAACTTCGTCAAG